TCACACAGCTACTCGATACGTTTTGAATAAAATCTCAACACTTTCAACAATCTCTTTCATTAAAGAAAGTTTCCTCATTTTCATATTTTGCAAAGATCCAAAAATGTCATAATGGGTTGGTCCAAGGAAAATATATTTAATAGGAGTGGACAGAGTAGACAGGATTGTCAGATGGTCTTCCCTTGTCTTTTTGAAAATGGTTAGAGGTTTACCCCTTGTTTCCTGTTTCGGATTGGGTTTCCGGTTCCTTCAAAAGCCTGCGTCACCTCTATACTTCTAACGTCTCAGCCTAAATTCTCACTGGGGTAGACTGTTCTAGTTCCACGTGCGATATCTAATGGATGCCAATTATCAGTTATCTCCTGTTAATTGCCTTCCCCAGTTCTCCACTGCCTTAAACAAGGACACGTGGCACAGTGGATAAAGCCGTTAGTTAGAGCCAGTCACAGGACCCAAAGAGTGTGAGTTCAATACCCGGTTAAGGCAGTGGAGAACATAGAGAGAAGAATTAAGAGAAGATAACTGGCATCCATTAAAAATAGCACGTGGAACTAGAACAGTCTACCCCAGTGAGCGAAATAAAGTGTTTTGTTCGACATTCCAACCACCTGAAGAAGGCCGAAACGTTGTAATAAATATGGCGACAATGATGAGGACAATAGTTTAAATAATGTAATCTCCATCCTCCTGTAGGACATGTGAATGTTGGAGAATTTCCATGCAGATGAAGAGACATTGAGCAAGAGATGTTGTTTTATCCAAGAATGTAAAAAATGTCATGGACTAAACACTTCACCAACGAATAGAGTCTAAAGAAAATGGCAACTATAATGATATTTACACTTACAATTAGGTAGAGACAATTGGCATTTCGGATACAGATTTTGAGTAAAGGAAACGTGGAGAATATGACACGCACAGTGTATATTAAAGACAATAGGGGCAAATAGAAACAGCGAGTAACCTGCCTAACAAGCTTGAGTAAATGGAGAGCAGAACAGTTTTTGCTCTGAATAGTAAAGGGGCAAACATTGCTTTTTGATACAAAAATAGAATGCTGTGGAGAACCATGATCACTTACATCCTGGCGAAGCACGACACATAAAAAGAGAAAATTTGAGCATAGAGCTGTAAGCAATTTCCCGTTTTTTTAAAGGTAACACACCTATCTCATTTCTAACTTGTGGAAATCTCCTTCCGGCTTCTTGCTTCCTAGTCAACTTTGATCTTTAAGAGTTTAAATGAAATGTCAATCTATATCTTATGTCTTCTTAATTCTTCTTCTTTTATTGTCCTCTCACCTTAATAGCAGTTTTTTTTTCTCATATTCTCTAACAGTCGATAATCTCCTTGCGTCCTAGTGGCTTTATTTCCTGGCTTGGGGTGAAATGATAAAGAAAAAAATCGCACAGATAATTTTGCAGGTGAAGGTAGTTTATAGACCAGGTGTTGCATTTCTGTAGTCTTAGAAGACATTTGTATTTCATAGGTACAGGGTCTTTCCAGAATTAAAAAGACAGATATATATATTCAATCGGAATGAGACATTCACAGGATATAGTCAAAATAGGAGGGGAAGAGGAAAACAGTGAGTAACGTCCATATGATCACGCACGTCCTGAAAGGACAAAGTAAATAAAAAAGAATATTTTCTGTAAATGAAGTAGGAGTTATATGCAATTAAATATAGCATTTATAGACGTTTAAAGACAACAGTAAAATAAAACTCGCCTACAGGCTTGACAGAGTTTAAAAGCGATCACGCGGCCTTGTAGGCAATTAAATATTTTCCACAACACCTTTGCAATAAGCGAAACTTTGTTAGCCTCTCCATCACTATTACTAGGGCAAATGTTGAAACGAGCTACATTCCTTAGTTTCACCAGACCTTCACATCGTGGAACCGCATTTCCACAGACACGCGATCAAATCATCTTCATCGCCTTCGTATTCCTTTGATAAGGAGGAAGTCCCGCAGACAGCCCAGAGCTGTCACGCTCCTGAGAGGATGCTTTCTCAGCCACAACAATCTTAATGTCTATAACGTTTAGGGTCAAGCAATATCTATATTACAACACGCACCTTGTACTTCTGCACTATGTTTATATGGTTGTAAATTTCATTCATTATATGTCTAATTAAGTTGGTCTTGTCCTTCGTATCGGATTAAAAATATTAGCTGGGATTTTTAATAGAAACGGATAATTGATTCAGTGTTTATATATCCTCGCTATAAACCCATATATGTACAAGTCCAGAAGAAAAAAACAATTTACGATAGGAAAGTCCCTATGAGTTTAAATAGATAAACACATACCAAAACTAAAATCCTCCGCGTGTTTGGCTTCAGTTCAAACCGCCACTCCCAGGAGCAGGTGCGATGTGACCCGGTGCGGCTGACTCATGTTCAGTGAAATGGAAACGGTTTCTCAGTATACGAGAATTGCGGTTTCTATTCAAAACAAATCACTACCGTTAAGTAAAGGGCAAACAGTGGCGTAAACCCTTGCGAAATGGAGACGCTCTCTATATCCCCCGTGTTTTCACGGACACCTGGGTGGAACACCCAACGACGAAAATACTTCCCCAACTGCCGTTACAAAAGCCCTAGAAATGATAAGAACGGCAGGAGAGAGTTTGAATAGAAACCTGTAAGGTTATATCATTTGTACAATCCTCGTAATAACACGAAGGTGTGTTTAATCACGTAAACAGTAGGGTGTACGACAAAGGCTCTTATAGTCGCTGTTGGAATTGTTGTAAGTCTTCCATATTCGGAAGACTGGCGTAACACAATCTTTAATTTACCACTTAATTTGATCTAAAATCTAGCATTTCCTAGCAGTGCCAGTGGTCGCTGTTTAAGCGAATGATTTAATTTTAAAGCAGTCACACAAAATTCACTTACAAGGTAAATATATTCTTTCTACCGAAATTACTTGAATGAATCTATCTATCTATCTATCTATCTCATTCTGTTCATATATATATATATATATATATATATATATATATATATATATATATATATATATATATATAGATCATATCTATCTATCTATCTATCTATCTATCTATCTATCTATCTATCTATCTATGTCTGTTCGTATCTAAGTCTGTTCATCTATCTATCTATCTATCTATCTATCTATCTATCTATCTATCTCAGTCTGTTCGTATCTAAGTCTGTTCATATCTATCTATCTATCTATCTATCTATCTATCTATCTATCTATCTATCTATCTCAGTCTGTTCGTATCTAAGTCTGTTCATATCTATCTATCTATCTATCTATCTATCTATCTATCTATCTATCTCAGTCTGTTCGTATCTAAGTCTGTTCATATCTATCTATCTATCTATCTCATTCTGTTCATATCTAAGTCTGTTCATATCTATCTATCTATCTATCTATCTATCTATCTATCTATCTATCTATCTATCTCAATCAGATCCTATCTATCTATCTATCTATCTATCTATCTATCTGCTTATTCGACAATTGTCGATTTCCTTTTTCCTCGACCGTTCTGATAAATCCGTGCCATTCAAGTGAATCGTCATCATATGGATGCGGACTTTTTGAAGGTCGATATCGCGTGACAATTATTCCCCACAAAATCTCACCCACCGCGATTTTCTTTTCTTCAACCCATGTTTTCAAACGATTTTTTGATTACCCATGACTATTTACGACAAATATATCTCATATTTATTCTCTTTGATTCTTGTAGATTTCAAACGAATGAAGGCTATTGGTTCTTTGAATTCTATGCGGCTCGCTTCAACGCACGAAACCTTATTTCCAGGGAAACAGCGTTTCCTGGATCTGCCTGTGTTGCATTTTTCTTCTGACCTAGATGATTTTTCTCTATATCTCTGAGATGAGGTATCATGGTTATTTGCATTATTCAGACTGCTATCCACATCTTCATAGCCATATTCACAACGTTTTGGCCCTTGTACTCTCCGGCCTTCTGGAATTTCGAACCGTACCTTTTATTTCGTCCACCGGGGTATATTGTTCAAGTTCCATGTGCCATGCCTCTTCCTGATGTCTCAGTTATTTCACTTTAACTCAACTCTCCAACATTTTGGTCTACCATTGCTGTGGCCTGTGATTGAACTTGAGTCTAGTCACTGGATCTAACCAACGTCTTTATCCACTGGGCCATGTGTCCTTGAGGATGGACGAAATAAAGGGTAAATACTGTATGTAGGTCTGTAGTTGGAGATTCGTCTCAAGTTGTGCTCGTCAAACTCTCTGTCTGCGGGCAGAGAGGATCCTCAGACGGGGCTGTGTCGAAAGGCAGAGTCTTGTATCGGGAAACAGCTACCCGGCCCCGTTTTATACACGGAGAATTTTTATCCGAGCCCATAGGCTCGGATACCCCACATTAAATTCGGCCTCGTGCCACATCTGACCGTATGGGACAGTTGGTAGATATCCTGCAGTTGGAGATTAATTGTGAAATTCACTTGACTCACTTCTACCATTGACTACTAGTTCTACGCGCCGCTGGCGAATCTTATACGTGTTGTTCTTATCCTAAGTATTATCGTTCATTACCAAACTTCGTGTGATTATTCTGTTCAGTAACCTTCCCTAGGTTACAACAGTAACGTTGTTTCCATGTGTCTGTAACGGGGTCGAATGTTTAGGATGTTAAAGTGATTACGCCGTTGTTATATGATAGTTTATAAAGGATTCCTTTTGTCTTTCTTATACTGAAAATGAAAAACGTACAACGATAACAACAATAAGACGTTCAGACACGGGTTGACATTAATGAGAAAAAATGTGTATTTTTTTGTCATGTTAATTACAATATTGGTATTGGGTGTGTTAAGACGTTCTCAGTGTTATTCTCTCTTGTTTCGGTTAAAGTCTCTGCTTACTTACTTTTGCTTATTCCGAGAATTTCGTTGTTAAGGGTAGCTTTTGAGACCGTTAAATGTCAATTTTGACGGAGCGATGGCCATTCGTCTATGTTGTTCCTTTTTACTACTTTCTGGTAGTGAAAAGGTCTTTTTTTATAATGATGAAGTTTCAAGATTTTAATCATTCATTAAATATCGTCATCATATATCATCACTTGTGGAAAGGTTGTTTTTAGAATAATGAAATAGCATCATCATTCTGGGTCATAACATGGCCTTTCGATAAATATTTTCATGGTAATTGTTTTGATGAGTTTTCCTCTTTAATACCCAGATATTACGAACTTAAGTGCAGTAATAGATTGGCGGAAAGGTCTCATCATACCGTAAGTTCTATTCTAACATTTTCTTCTTTCGCACTTCTCGCTTACAGATCTCCTTTCTGGCTCTTTGTTGTCTAATCAAAATTGAAATGCATTATCAATCTTTATCTCTGTCTTCTTTATTCTTGTTCTTTTATTCTTCTTTCTCCTTAATAATGTTTCTTCCAAGTCAGGCTTCTTGCTTCCCAGTCAACTTGGATCTTCAAATATTTAAAAACAATGTCAATCGTTATCTTCTGTCTTCTCAATTCTTGTTCTTTTATTGTCCTCTCTCCTTAATAATGTTTCCGGCTTTTACTTACACTCGCCGGCAGATATGTCTAAATATAGCCTGTTACTGACATGTCGCAAATTTTAATAGACTAAATAGACTACTGTGATGGTTAAAAAGCCTCCGCCCCACTTTTTTTCACCTCGACTGAGTCAGATTTATATATTTCCCATGTCCATATATATTTTTTCCTTTCCCTCTCCCTTAGCGAGAGAACGTCTTGATTTTGCCCAATGGGCAGAATACAGCGGCCTCTCCTTTTTTGAGGGTTGGACGGGCCCTACTAACATCAGTTATGTTTAGTTTGCTTTCTGTTGGTATTTAGCTTGTTTCTTGGGTTCATCCCCTCCTCCATTCATCGCCGACATATTGGATTTTTATCTATAAAATATATATTTTTTATCATCAAAATGTTAAATGACGGAGTGCGTTTTGTAGGTCCCCACCCCTGAGAAGATGCGGTATTATGGTGTAAGGAGGATTGATTGGTGATGGACGAGTTTTTGTGGCGAATGTGCAAATTGTAATGAATGAATGGCTCGTGAATCTGATTAGCTAGGTATAAGATAGTTAAAGACCAATCCTTCTTTCCCCTTTTCGGTCTTGTGCCACAATTGTATTTTATATACAATAAATATCATTAACAAGCCTCCGCTATTAGAGTGATTTCGACTTTCACTGGGTGCAACACAAATGTATCACTAAACTAAACTAAGCTAAATATAGTAAATACCAATAAAATAGATTTAGCAGGTGAGTTAGTACTTAGTAAGTTATTTACTTTGCCCAGACTGTAGAGCTGTTACCGGCATGTTTAGCCATCACAGGATCCAATCAATATTTCTCGCTTTGTTGAGCACAAAAATGCCGACCTATAAAATAAAATACGATAAAAGACATTCTGTGTTGCGTGGATACCAAAAACAAGACTTCAGATATTAATTTGATCGTAAAGTTGGAAGGTTCTTACGACCTAATGAGTATTTTTAGCATTTCTACATATTTCCAATACATATCTCCTTCTCTCTCTCACGCCCCCCTCTCTCTCTCTCTCTATATATATATATATATATATATATATATATATATAATGATTTTCTGTATATTTAGTAATCAAAGAAAAGAAGCAGTTCGTTTTTATTTAAGCTTTTTCGCGATATAAAACTTAGTGCGTTGATAACATTGTGTAAATATTGGTTTTGTTAACGTTGGCTTTGCTCTTTTATTTTTGTTAGACTTCAGAGATATTTGATGCCGACAACTTACCTCTCAATTTTTTGTAGTCCATCGTTTACAACAAACACCCACCTTCAAACAAACGGAAAGAGAAAAAGAATCTTCTTAAGCTCTTCTTCGTTACCAAATCAGGTTAATGATTAATCGGATAAAAGGTAAGGAAGGAAAAATAAATAATATTAGAGCTTTATTTTCATTATTACAATCCTTTTTTTTTTCCAAGCGCGAACTCTTTACGTGACACGTGATATCAAAGGTAGGATTTATAAAAATAAAGTGTCCAAGCTGTCAGCTTGGGAATCAATTATCTAGAAATTAAAACATTCAGAAGTAGTTTCATACAGAAAACAATTGAAACACCTAAAACATATTCCCATTTAATTATGAAAAATTATACGACTTAAATATCCGCCATTTTCAACTTCACACAGATGCGTTATTTTGTTATCATTCTCCATAGCAATGACTAATATCTTTCACTTCAGACCTCGAATTTCTGTACAGTTGTTGAGTTGCTGAATTGTCTGCGGTTTATTGATATATACACGTTTCTTAATGTATACCCAAAGAAAATATTCAGGAGGTATCAGATGAAGAGAACATGATGGCCATAAAATTTCGGAATTTCGCGAAATTATCCGGTGAACAAAACTTTGCTCAAATCCCAAATAAAATTCCACGGATTTTTGTTCAGAAGTTAATTCTTTTACGGCTTATAAACTGTTTTTGGATTATTTAAAGCCGAAAAACATTTTCGGATTGTACGAAATTTCTTACGGTACCATGTGTTCCCAAGCTGTCCCCTATCTCAATAAAAACGGGACTTGTCACTGATTAACGTCAGTGATTGAACGAAAAGTGCTGTTTTCAACGTGATTTGACGGTAGACTTTTCATTGGGTAAATACCCTATATTTATGGTATTAAGGTAGTAAAAAATACATTAAAACAAGGAAAACAATGCTCTACTACCATAGGTTACCTCCCCTTGTGTAAAAAAGCGAAACATAAAAATTTAGCCACAAAGGATCAAAAAAATGAAGTAATTATGAAGAATTTGACTGTTCAGTTGGGAGAAAATGCAATGTACTTACCTGGGCTTTTGATAGTTATTTTCTAAGCCCGGCTTAGATGTGGCACAAGGCCGAAAGTATAGGGCACCAAGTGAAGATCGAACTCACTACTCAGTCGTAAATAATCTAGCAAGACAAACTTTTAACCATTACACCACGCCGAGGTGCCCCTACCTGGGTCTTTGATTCTTACTAACTGAAAGTGGTTCCGTTTTTACTAACTTTTTATAGTTACAGGGGTCACGTGATTTTATTAGCACGTGATCCCTGAAGTAGTTAAAATGTTTTTTTTCCTTTTTTTTTAAAAATCTTTACTTAAGTTATTAGTTATTAGACTGTCACGTCACGTCACGTTACGTCGCGGAAAGGAATTTTATTTCGAAACTTAAGGTCAATGCATTTCCTTCTTTTCGTCGGCCTGAACCGTCTCGAGATTTTTCTGGGGTTGAGATTTTCTCATCCAATTTGCAAGATAAGATCTCCAACGTATGTGATATGGTTAATAACAGGGACGGGTTACTCAGAAGGATTTCTCTTCTGCAATCGTAGATCAGGACAAGTCTAATTGTTGCTCGTCAGGAGGACAAGCTTTCTGTGAAAACTTTTTTGGCTCTTCAAAAAAAAAAAAAAAATTGTGTTAGAGTAACTAACGGAAGTAGAGATCTGCGTTAACAAATGGCAACTTGAATCTTCTTCTTAGGAGAACTCGGTGA